TATACATATGTATTTTTGTGTGTTAATGTTTGTGCCTGGGTATGAAAATATGTATGTGTGCGGTATGTGTTCATGTGTGGCACACACCCGTGTGTATGTGTGTGCGTGTGCGTGCGTGCGTGTGTATGAGCTTGTGTGTTCGTGTTCAAGATAGTGTGTTTGTGTGTGTGGGTGAATGTGCGTGTGCGTGTGCGAGATTTTGTAGTTTTCTATCTTCACAAATCTATCTTTCTCTGTAATACACTCATATCTACACTGAGCATACTAGTTGTGCACACTTCATCAACTTAGACCTGGTCTCCAGTCATACGATAGAACATACTTTCCGGGCTATATTCGGGAATGAACGATAATCCAGTATCTGCAGTTAGTCCTTGCACGCCTGCGGCAGAATTCAATACATAGCTCAGGCGTTCATCATTAGCCCTGGGGACAAACTCATCAGTGGGCTCCCTTACAAATTCATCTTGAAATCCTTGCTGTTTATTTGTTTTTTGCAAGGAAACTTCCGGTGTTTGTATCTGTATACTTTTCAAAGAGACATCGGAACCTTCCAGGGATCCCTGTTGCGACAGTCGACTTGAGAAACTTTTCAACGTATTTACACGTTGTTGCCCATCCGATATGTCTGCCGCAACTCTTCCTGAGAAAGTCGACTTACCCGCACCTCCTATGTTATCGGATTGCATGTATGTTGTCTGTGATGTATTTATGAGGCTGGGCCTGTTGGCGTCGATCACAATATCATCTTTATCAGCAACTATATCTATACTTTGTGTGTTTTTCCTATTCTTTTGCTTTTCAACGGCAGCATCACCGTCATCTAATTTCATATCTTCCGATGATGTACCACCACCAGATATGTGATCTCTGTCCATACCCACATGTTCGGTGTTATATCGATTTGCAGTGGCTATCTCAGTATCTGTATCTATATCGATTCTCTCAAGTATTGCATCCGAATCGTTTATAGTCTTCCTGTCTACTAGTAAATTGGATCCTGCAGATACATCACGTTCCGTGCCAAACGCTATTTTTGAATGCACGCCTCCGTCGCTCGCTATATGTGGAGGTATTAGCTTACAACTGTGAAGGTACCATAAGACAACAAGCCCAACACCTACGAGAATAGCGCGTCTGTATTTGTTACCTGGGATGTAATTTATCGATCTCCAATGGCGAGAACTTTTGCGTGCGCGGTCGTCTAAGGGGTGTGGGTATGTTACTTTACTGGGTGTGCAGATCGTTGCACAATCCGCGCACATATTAGGCATTCTGTGATATGTACTACGTATCACTACTGAAGGTATGAAGTTGTTTCCGAAAGATCTCCAACGCAGAATTCAAGAGTTGTTTTTATGTTCCTATCGTATTGCCAACAAAACTGGAATAAAACTTGGCCAGGGGATGAGGAGGGGGTCAGAGGGGCGGGGGCGCCACGCACAATTGTGTTTCAAGTGGTTGTCATGGCAATTATTCGCTGCCTTATTTGTTTTTTTTGTTTCTTTTAGAAAACAAACCAAAATTGGTTAATATTTAGTGTTTCTTTTTTACTTTTTAGAGGGCTAAAAAACGAAGCCATTTTTTTATAGTCAGAAGGTGGGGGTCTTTATCAGTTTATCTGTGCAAAAGTGTGACGGACGGACAGACGGACAGAGTCGAAGATATTTAAAAAACATCATGGAGGGACAAGCTCACGATTTCTGTAATTTAGTTATAAAAAAACAAAAACAAAACTATCGATGTACATATTGAGTATTTATGAAGGCATGGCCCTCTGGCTGGGTTGGTATACGACAACAACATACACCCCTGAAAAGATGTCGTCTCGATATGTGTATGACTGAATGTAGGCGACGATACAACCACCAGCAAACCTGCCGACACCATATCGCGACCGACATGTCCTACAAAATGTCGCCGCGACATGTATGACATGTCGTTTGCCCAAATGTCGGCGTCGTTTACCAACCCAGCCCTCTGCGCTCTGGGGCCTGGGCTCTGGGCTCTGGGCTCTGGACGGCTTCTGGGCTTCTGGGCGTTACATAGAGAGGGTCTGGGCCTCTGGCCCCTTCGTTATATAAAGAGATGCAATTATTTCTATAGATATCTCTAGTAGAGACGACGAAATCAATTCCGAACAATGGGCTACAACAAGAAAGTACGAGTGTTACAACAAGGACACTCACGTTTCTTTCCAACGGCTTTGAGACTTGGGACCGCTATGAGGGTATTGATCACAATTTTCCACAATTGGCGACCACCGTAGCAATGGTTTGGTAGAGAAACTTATTGAAATTTTATTTTATTTGAGTCACATCACACGCAACGGCCTTCAGGTTCCTGGCCCGTGGTACTAGCTCTAATGCCAATATTGCCACAAATATTGTGTATACGCTCATTACTACTGGCGCACATCATTTCACCATTCTTTTTCTTACAACAGAGCTTGAATCAAGAGACCTCGGTGGAACTATCTGGGACCTCGTGTACCGCTCTTCAGGACGAGACCATCTTGTAATATCACTTATTCCTCATCTCTATCATCGATTACAACTGGCATCAAATGCAATGTTTTCGTATCTCGCCTATCACGGCCTCGGCCTTGATTTTCAAATGGCAATCAAGGCTGAAAAATCTAAACTACAGAATCCCAGTAGGTCTTTCGATAGAGACTACGAAGACAGAAAAAAAACACCCTAACATGTCTAATCTATCAATATCGAGCTCCTTTGGGACTTACAGATGTTCTGGTTTACTATGGGTTCCGATGGCGCCGGAGCACACTGTTGGTTGTGTTCAAGACACTTAAACTCGACAGTCACAACTTCGCCTCAAACTGCGTGAATGTTCTCCTTGTTCTGATAGGTCCTACCAGGAGTATATGTATATCCAAAATCTCACAGTAGTGATGCGTGGATCCAGCCTGCAATGATTCACTCCCATCTTAAATATCTCCGACAATCTCACAATAGACATATTCCCAACTTCACTACGCCCCGGACAGATACATGCTTATACACCCCTCTTCAGACCTACCACTACCCTTACTACAACACCCACACAATTTGTCCTGGATCCTTAATGTTAGAATTATGTTTATATCTAGACTCACTCAACGTATCAATTTTACTGTCTGTGACTTTGCCGCAACACTCACCGCCACAGCCCCAGTGTCCCAACGCTATACTTCTAGCGATCCTACCTGATAGAATATTTCCGCCACTCTCGCATGGTCGGCCGCCTAAATCTTCTTTTGACACACTATTGCTCTGGTGCCTAGCTGTATACTTCAGAAGTTCTGAGTGGCCTGAGCCCCCCAGGGCCCACAGAGTCACGGACCCACACTCACAGTCTCTCAGTCTGTCAGAGAGTCAGTCCCACACACGCTACACCGCTGTGAACACTTATTGTATCAGGAGTACTCCAGAGACCAGCCTTAGAACCAGAAGAGTAGACTAATATGGAGATACTCTCTCTCTCTCTCTAGCTCTACTCTCTCTCTACTCTAGAGTAGAGTAGAGAGAGAGAGAGAAGAGTTCCTTTTTAGTTTTTTGTTTACTTTCAAAGTTTAAATGACAATGAACTCTGTCAGTCCTAAGCTCAATACGTTATGTGTATGCTGAATAAAAATTGTACTTTAACGTCTATGTAGCTCAAATATGCCCAACGAAACTTCGAAGACTGCACTTCGAATGTGCACCAAAAATCCACGAAGTGGGCTATATTAAGAGTATCGACCAATTATAAGCTCGCCAATTTTTTGACTTTTGACTTTTGACTACAACTTTGCGCCTGCGGATTTATCAACAAACTATTACTGGGGACAGATCTGCGGTCCTAGAAATTATACCCCAGCTGAAATCCATCGGACCATGTATGTAATAAAAATTGAACCTCAACGCTTACATCGGCATGTAATAAAAGTTTTATTTACGCATTGAGCTTTGTCTGCCACTCTCTAGAGTCTGAGGGGATGAGGCGCTGAGCGGCTAAGCGCCCTGAGCCTCTGTCCTCTGAGGCCTGCCGCCTGAGCCCGCGCCCCTAAAACTAACGCCTAAGGGACACCGGGGTTTTTAGGGACAGTCCCTCACTATCATTGAGGCTCTGTATATTAGTTTTTTTTTTTTTAACACCTCATCCATGTACTAAGGGGACCTGATTTTTAAGAAGTAAACCTAATTCACTATATCTGGTTTTGGATATAATCCTAATTTGTTTTTCTAGACTTTTCTAGAAACATTTCAAAAAAAAATGCACCGGCGCCAGGTTGATACCTCTACTGGTTCATACAGTTATGTATCGTTTTATGAACAGGATTGTGAACATTTCGACCCATGTCAAATCCTGGATTTCCATGTCTCATATTAGCAGTTTAAACTTTCTGAGGGTTCTCATATATAATAAATGCAAGTATTATCTGTTTAGAACCTATCATTGTGTTATAGAGGACTTATTATACTTGCTCAAAATCACCATCCACGAGCATGCATGCCCAGCAATGACATCCATTCGGTGTGCGTATTAAAATATATTGCATAAGCATAATTAAACTATAATAATGATATTGTAATCACTTGTGGGTGAATATGTAGTGAGTTTTGACCAAAAGTTTAGGAATTGAGATTCATCGTGCAATCGACTGCATGTCACATCAATTGGCGAACACACACTTTTCTCGATTTTAGCAGCTGTAGCTTGCATTCCGGTTATAAGAATGCATAAACGATATTTATTTTTTTGACAATATCTGTACGTGACAACATTGAAACTTTACTAATTATGCAAATATAGACGTATTAATCGTGTTTTGGAGGATTCCTATGTAGTGTTAGACTCCAGGAGTATAAAAGGTGTTCTGCTTGTACTACGACCTTGACTCCTTTGCAGGTCATTTAGGAAATACTTAGTTGCCAAAAACATATTGGGATTAAATAAAAATACGGATATAGTCAATCTGGAACGCTTCTTAATTTTCGGCCCGATTTGTACCCCTTAGTATATGGATAGGGTGTTAAAATACAGACTTTTACATAGATTAGCAGGCTTTAGTCTTCACAGAATACATACAGTCATACAGTCATAGAGACTCGAAAGTGGAGACTGCGAGTGACTGTCAGACGTTAGTGGCGCGTCTATTTTATTTTTTAAAAACAATTGTACTAAAGAGTAGCGAGAGGGACAAGTCAGGGCTCAGTTCTCAGCCTCTCAGCCCTCAGGTCTCAGGAGAATGCCTCGCGGCTCACAGTCACTGAGTCCAATGGCTCATACCTAACCTCATAACGTTTGGCGTCATGTATATAAACGTTAACTTTTAGACGTTTATCGGATTGTTTTTTAACGTTGCAACGTATTTTAGTATATTTTAACCTGTATATTGTGACCTGAATAGTGCACCTATTGTAAACCTTTTGGTCTCAGTTTTCAATATCGGAATTTGTCGTCAGGACATTGCCTATCCTGGAATATGGCCCTACAAATATAAACGGGACACTGATATGGAATTATACGTTTGATTTTCAACGTTTAACGGAACATTTATTTGCGTTGCAATTTATAACGACATGAGGTTAGGCTCAAACTTCATAGTCAAAGGGGCACATACCGACAGAGCCAGGACGCCAGGTCCGACCGTCCGTATATACTCTTTTGTACTCTATTTGTACTAATGCTTTCCGAGTCGTCGACTGACTCTGCGTACTACTTTATTGAGCAAAACAATGTATTTATGAAGAGTTGAAGACAGCGATTTGGGTTGTTTTATATATATTGAACACAGCATGGAAACTCAAGCCGATTTGTATAGTTTTTTTTAGCGAAATTTCATAATCCAAATTGGTTAAATATTAGGAAAATTCAATTCCAACGGCTTTCTGTTTTTATTTAGTTCATCCTAAAACAAGCTGTCAAGAAAGTGAAAACCCGATTTGGACCAAAACTCGTTGAAGTATATCAATTTGAAAACTCTCAGTCACCATATATATATATAGTTGT